CAAATCCAAGTGAGGAAACAGTTTAAATGCGTTATATCGTAACATATGCCAAGTCGCTCAAAAATATGGCCTGTATTGCGTCGGTTAAAACTTTGACAAAAAAGTCCTCGCAATTTATTGGTCTCATCATTACGGGCGTGGTAATGTGATAATTACGATGTAATTAAAGCGCTCTATAACATCAGAACCGATAACTGTCTTATAAGGCTTAAGTTGACATTAATGGCAGAAGACAAAAGACGTGGTGACTGTTCAGAGTCAAAGTCACAATTTCTTTATTCAATATAGACTTGGTTGAAGCCCTTATTGAACGACTCAAAACTACCAGCGGTTCATTAAATTAGACCTGTCCTGAGATGAACAGGCAAGAAACTCTGCGTCCTTGTCTTTTTTTTTAAATGGCGTATTCCATGACTTATTAAGTTCAAAATCAGCAGCGGTAAGGGCAGTTTCAAGCGGGGCGCAGTTTCAATTCAATCCACAATTCAACATACTGTTGAGCTTTGAGTGGAGGCGTTTTGCGTTAGACTTCATCGAGGAACATCATCTAATCTCCAGGTCTTCGCTATGTCCAGCCATCCTGAATCCTCGTCACTAAGCAGGTGCTGAGAGCAAACAGCTAATCGAAAGGGCAGGGGTACCGTTCTTTATGGTGATGCCTTGATAGGCATCTACTTTAGATTTGGTGATGACCCCCAGTGCTTTTGTAAGTCTACGACAAGTAAACACCATTCATGAAGGCATGAAGGCTGCAGGGGGCTGATGATGATCTAATAACTAAAGCTAATTTCGGTTCTAATGATCGTGTCTATAGACAATTCACATATCCGTCGACCCTGTAAGTCAATAGGCTTAACAAAAAATGGTGACTCGAGTGAATATATAGATTATGAATGTCTTAGATTTGTAAAAAGTGTATTAAGTCTGTCTTTCTGTCTGTCTCCCCGTCTGTAGTGAGGAATGGTGATAGACGGACAGGTATCTCATGAACTGTGGTAGTTAGACAGATGGAATTTTCACAGATTATGTATTTCTGTTGCCGCTATGACAACAAATACTAAAAAACAGAATTTTTAAGTTGGGCTCCATGATGATTGATTTTGCCGTTTTTATAGATAATGGTACGGAACCCTTCGTGCGCGAGTCCGACTCGCACTTGACCGGTTTTTAAACTTGAAACAGAACAATGTTATTCATACAGGAATGCTGAGAGACACTCAAATCATAGTATAGCTTTGAATGACAGTTTGAAGGAAATTTTAACCTTTACTTTCATCACTGATAAGGTTTTAATTTCGTTTGTGCGTTTTGTGCGAACGCTGTGTGATGAACTTTAGCCCTGGATTTGTTTACTGTACGTTTATTATTTAAAAAAAAACATATTTAAATGCAGCTTTTATTGTGTCGTTTATAGGGACGTACTTTTAAGGATGCATGTGGTCGATCTATTTTAACTTCGAATAAGGGGACCGTAGTTTACGCTACTCTTAAAATGTACAATGAAATTCAATCAAAATTCAATGCCGAGACTGTGCTTTCAACGCTGCTATTACAGGTTATTATAACACTATATCCATTGCTTCGATCGTAATAATAAAAAATACATTTTATCAGATATCGGTTAAAGGCAAGCACTGTAAATTCCTTAATCAGATACTGTGTGCTAGGCGAATATTAAAATAAAACCATTTTTGTAGCTGGCTTAATAAGTCTTATGTAATGAAATGATTCAAAACCGCAATTATTTATCTCTATACAAATATTGCTTACCATATTCCCAAAGAAGTTATATTCGTTTATGTGATAGTGTTTAGTTGAGTCTGGAACATTTTGTGTTACTTCCGTTTTCAGCCTATAATAAATTTCGAAGGACCCAGTAATAAATTGAACACACGCTAGCAAGAAATAGACAACTGAGAAATATGCGATAACTTCATTGCAGAAATAAACAGCTTAAAAACTTTGTGACTGCAACGCGGTACGTGCAAAGCGGTTTCAGGGTTTTGAAACGAAAAATATTTACATTTTTCCTTGTGAGGTTTACATATTATAAGTTATTCTATAAAACTATGAGTCATTCATATGTTCCTTATGAATGTGTATATAGGCACCTAAGAAGTTGTATATACGTACCTGCAGGACCGGGTTTTTTTTGGTAAATCGTGTATTTTGAAAATTACATTTAGATACAAATTACTGAGTAATGAACTATGCATAATATTTTTTGATCTTACTGACGTAATAATAAGAAAATATGAACTGGTGTTTTTCACAAAAGAAAGAACTTTAAAAAAAAGGGGAAAAATAACAAATCGACAAAAAATAAAAAATAAAGAACGCAATGATCTGGAATCGAAAAATAAGTGTGTAAATGATCGTGATACGAACCGCAGCCGTCTGTTTTGGGGCCGCCCGATTACCGACCGAGCTATTATAACATTTTTTTATCCATTATAAAAAAATTATAATGTCCTTTTGGACATTTTTTCGCCCCCGAATCTACGCACATACTAAATTTCATGAAAATCGCTTGAGCCCTTTCCGAAATTCGATTATATATATATATATATATATATATAAAAGCAGTTTAAAATACGTTCATACAATTTAAACTTTCACATACACAACTTTTACTCTGTCTTCTCATTTATCGATGGTGTATACCTGAAATTCTTTTCAAAAATAAATAAATTACTACACATTATTCAATAAAACTATATAACGGTTTCAGAGGCTTAATTTTCATTTTCAATTACCTACCACTGTTTCGAACACAATAGCGTCCTAGTAATATTAAGCTTATCGGTCGGCCACATCGATCTTTCTAGATTTAGAAGCGGCATCGGTTATCGGTTGAAAGATCAAGCTCGCTAACTCTTCAAGTTTTTTGGTTCTGGGCATTTCACAAGTTCTGCGTTCGATGAAGCTTTCATAGTCTACGGGCTGGAAGCAAAAACATCTAGCGATTCGCTTCGTCACTCATCATCTGTACAGTAATGAATGGGATAACCTGCCGGCGTCCGTCTTTCCGTCTGATTATAACGCAGACCTCTTTAAGGCAAGAGTGAATAGGTCTTTACTGAGCTAGCGCGCTTACCATCAACGGCGGCATCGCCACTTACCCCATCAGTCGGGATGGTAGTCAAGCGCTGGCCAGTTTCGAATTAAAAAAAATTGTTAAAGTACAAATACGGAAGCGGTTCGTGAGGCGGGCGAGACGCCTCGTCGGCTTCCCACCGGCACGAACGTTCCAGCCGCGCCATTTTCCACCGGCCCTCCGTTGAATGATCGCTGTCATTTTTTCTAGCGACGAATAAATCTCGCAACGCGCCCCGCCCCCGCCGCAGCAGAGACAATCATGAGCTCATTACACTAAGCGTGTCTCCGCACGCAACCCGCTCCGTCATTTTTGACAATTTTCCATGTCGTCGTTTCGTTGCTGTGCTTTTCTTTTTTTTAACGACAAGTCACGTGTTCCGACGGTCGTTTGCTAACGAAGTTTTCCCATTTGCCTCCGCCGCAATCACGTGTCAAAATGCGTGTGACGACGGCAATATGGTACGGGAGTGACTGACTGGCTATTAATGTTACTGTCACTCTATTATGTGGGTTTTGTCTTGTTTTCTTTTGCCTTGTATCGATTGGCTATTACTATTGGTGCGATTTGAACTTTTTTTTTTGGTTTCGGGCCGGAAATTTTCAAAACATACTCTGTTACACGACAGGGTCAATGTGGGGTTCTTTCCCATTAAACCCCCTCGGTGGCCACCTACTCTACGTTTGGAGAGACTCGGTATTTCCTACGAACGCACCGGTGTCCCTCGGTATTGCGTGTGTGCAAGCCTCGGAGAAGGATAGACCTTCCCCGATTCCCTCGTCATCTTGCAGCAGCTCGAGACCACTTCGTACTGCTTCCAATCCATATCCCATTTTAGTCGCCTTTTACGACAGGCATGGGATACCTTAGCCGTATTGTAAAAGCCCGAGGCTACAGGGCTGGCGATTTGGACCTAGCGCTATTAAGGGAGCAGTGATACTTGTGATATTTGAAATTTTAAAAAGTTGTATCGTTTATCTTGTTTATATAATCCTTGTATATATAATTTTCTTTTCATAGTTTCGTTTACTTTGATAATAACATACTTAGATGCACGTGATCTCCATTCTTCTCTAGGACCTATTCACATTCGAACCCATAAAAGTAATAACGAATACAATAGTAAAGCCGTACCTAAACTCAAGTGCACAGCTTAAGTGTGTCCAAATGGGCAAACATTTGCTTTATTGCCGCCACCGTTCCATTATTCCAACACAATATCGTTAAAGAACAATGGCTTCGACTGGTCCCGTAAGTATAGATTGGAGTTGCGTGTGGGATAGGTCCGATTATTTGGTTAAATTAAACAAGGGCTCTATAATTAATGACTTTTGACCTTGTACACAAACAAGTTGCGCATCAACGGGCATTGTCAAAATATTCCATTTTGTTTTTTTTATAAAAGACAACTTATTTGATTCGCCTTTAAAGTGTAGAACTCCTTCAGTTGCAACCGAGCTAGTGCCTTTACCTTTTAGGATAGGTACATCTTTACTTACAATTAGGTGAGATGGTTCTCAAGCACCGGCCAGTTTTTGGGTTAAACATATAATCAGGTAAAACTTGTCACTTTTTTAATAAAGTGAGAATTCCCTGACACCATCAGACTTACTTATTTAAAAATAAATTCGCGGCGTTTGTATGTGTTGCCTTATTACGCGAGGGTTTCACCGCACTCAGGTGATGACATCGTGTCGAGCCGCATTGTCCTAATCCGAAACAAATGGCCGAGGACGGCGTCGGGTGGCAATCGGGAAGCCATTACGGTGACGGCTCTGGATAACTCCGCGTTTATTGGCACCGGTCACGGAACTCTTTTGCCGGGGGCGATTCTGATTAAATGCGTATCATTTTGTATCGATCACGAACCTTAGGCTTATTTTCCATTGATGACAATGATGGCATGATGAGAGCCGACGGGAGGAGGTAAATGAAATTTTCGTTGGCGGTAAACGGTTTAGTTATTTTTTATTGGGAAATATTGTCAAGCGAGTAGGCGGTTTACCTGATGTTAAGTGAACATCGCTGTCAATTGCCATCTACAATACCCAAGGGCTTGCAGATACGTTGACAACCTTTAAAATAAGTGGTCCCAAGCTACCTACCTCACTCACTGTATGATACTTCCACTTCTCCAGACGAGCCTGCTTATTCATGCAACAGCCGAAGCCGCTTTTGCAAGCCCTCATGTGTTGTTAATGTTATTGGCGGTCGTAATCATTTAACTTCAGGTGACCGTCTTCTCGCTTGACAACTTTTCTCGCATAAAAAAATACAGAAAACCCCCAAAGAAGGTTATTTTAAGGTGCCGACATTGTAACCTTGCGGAAAGATGATGGATCAGATGTTCCACTCTTTTCCTGTACACCATTATTTGATGAAACTTAAGTAATAAATCTAAGAAATAAACTTATGTGAATATAATACATTTTAGTAAAATTTGTCTACGTATTTAAAAACGGTTTGTTCCTAGTTTAAACAACTGTTGTTTATAATACCCCATGCGCGGATCGCACTAAAATTAATTATTTTCAAGCTGACCCAGGTAAAGAGTGAAATTTGACGTCAAACACCTAAGTGATGTGATTATAAATACCGTAAGGTATACAAAATTGGAGTTAGAATTAAAATTAAAACGCGGTAAATTTCCTAAATTAGTTTAATTAAAACATTCTTTAGTTATTACTTGTCAATTTTGAAAGGCAGTCGTATTTTGTGCAGCCGTGTGTTTTGCTACCACTATAGGATGGCAATAAATGATGCCTTCTCTAACTACTCCATTAAAAAATTGCGTAATTTTTCATAACTATTTTTGTAATTTATTTCAAATCTCTACACTTAAGATAACACATTAAAATTTGTAGAAAACATGTATATTTTAACATAATGTTTTTTTCATTGTGATCAAAAGCTGTCATTGTCAAATATCTAACCGTAAATATTACATCTTAAAGATTGTGTGACACGGAACGTAAATGTTTATATGACTTTTAATGGGAAGTGTCACCACATACACGTTCAAAGGTGTTGTTTTCTTATTGCCTTTTTATCGCCACGCTACCGCTCCGCGAGGTATCCGATGGAATTATTATTGCGATAGTCTTTCGCGAATTGCGCAGTGCGCTTCTGCGGAACGGGGTGGCGCGTAAGAAATGGCACTGGCGTCATTGTAAAAACCCAACGGAGGCGAGACGGGCACGCTTATAAATGTCGCCCGGGTCCGCTCGGCCGCGTCGGGGGCATCAGCTGCAGATGGAGATGTTAACACGCCGTTAGTGCGAGTTTCACTGTAATCGATCCTAGGGTCGGCTTACATAGAACTGTGCTTATCTGGAAATAGTATCGGTTTTCCTCGCTCCCTGACTGATTTTGATCATTTGTAATATTAGATTTTGTATCTTGTATTAACTGATGTTTTTTCTTTCAGTCCCAAGACTATTAAAGCTTCACCTTAATATTAGAGCTTAAGCTGTCATGAAGGCATTAAAGTTTTTATACATAAGGTCAATTTATTTAATTTAGTGCATATTTCCTTACTTATGGCAACTGACAAAAGCAATCAAAATTAATACATTAATTACCATTATTAAACAAACTATTATTAACATTATTAAAATTTAGATTGTTCACTGTGGTAGGGTCACGCATCAGAATTTGCTATTGAACAGATGGCCAGGCCCGTCCGGGGAAGTATCACGGCTTCACAAAAGACCAGCGTGAAATGGAAGTATTATACTTTCGTGTTTTGTCTGGTGATTGAGATAACCAACTACTTTTTTAAACAATGTCAAAGGATCTGCAAGCTCTCCGGTTCATTCACCCTAATTTAACACCAAGGGAACCGCCTGACAACCTTTTACATAAAAAAATGATGTTTATTCATCTTAGTAACTGTCTAAATCATTGGCGAATCAGTAGCACCATATTTACGAACAAAATACATTCGATCTAACGATATTCTGTAGTATCATAGAGACTTTCAGTTGCCATGTAATCCCAACAGATATGACACTCGCAACTGTGTCCAGGTGTTGCAATGTCATTAATATCAATTGAACGTTGACCGTCTGCCATCAGCGCGACCACCTTAACTTGACACACCTCTCCCCCTCGACCGATGATTTTAACGGGCTCGCAGGGGACGCACTACCGAAGGTTAAAGTTCAAGCACGGACGGTGGAGAATTATTTTACGAGTCGATTTCCGCCGCGCAAAGATTAATGTGATTTCGCGTCGCTAATGCTTTTTTGTCGTACCCCCGCCGTGGATTATCGTGTTGGTAAAACGTAACTCATTGCATATTAATACCGGGTCTTATAAGAGTATTGTTGACGTTAAAAATGTGTACCGACCGTTGGTAGGTTTAAGTAAATGCGAATGATCTTCTGTTATGTGATTTTTTGTGTTCGCGTGTTATTTGTTATGCTTTTCAAATGTCAAACGAATTGACGGTGAGGCGTTTTAATACGTGTTTTGAATTATAATTTTATTATGCTCTCTATGTAATACTAATAGCAAGTAGCGTTAGAATTTAGTAAGTCTTAGTGTTATATATAATAACATTATTATTAACATGTTATTGGTTTAGGTCTATTGTTTGTTCTAAATCAGAGTAATAAGATTTCAATTTTATATATTAATGTTTTGTATTAATATTTAACAATGCAGTCGGGCTGCATTAAAAAGACTTACTATTAATCTATTTTGCGGGCATAGCTTTGAAATGATATAATAGCCTATATCACTCCTAAGACGGAGACAAATCAAATGACAATTAAATCTCGAAATCTGACACCTTTTGTCAGATTTCGAGATTTAATTGTCATTCAGACTGTAGACCGTGCTAAATAACACATATACACACACGTTTGAAAAACATTACACTCCTTCGGCAGTCTGGTAAAATACAATCTCTACTCCGGCAATCGCATCGCGAGCAGTCACTTCGCACCGTCAGTTCCACGCGGGGGCATTCCATCGGGGACAGTGACGTTCCAGGCGTCCGCGCCGAGTCCGGGGCATCGAAGCGCGAGGGTCAATAAGGGCGGCGAGTTGACGGCTGAGGGCTGGGGGCTGTTTGCCGAGGACCTTCCGTCCGCTCTCAATTATATCAAGATTACATATTTATCTCCTGAGACGGCTAGTCTTATAGGGGCGCCTTCGGACGGAACTGCTCGGAGTAGTTACATTTAAAAAAAAAAAAAGCTTTTTCTTTTTTATTATATTCTTTTTCTGTTTTCTATTTCTTTTTCAAAACTTCAAGTTTCAGCACACAGATATATATCTATAGCTAGCTATAAGTGGGATTTGTAGCTCATGCAATGAATGATAATAACATTAATAGCGATTTTCATTCAAATTTAAATATATACTAATAGTATGTGTAAATATTATTATTGCTTGTATTAATTATTATTTTAATTAAGCTTAATTCAAACACAAGCGTTCTCCCTATATGGCAGCAGCCTCCATGATAGAGGAAATAACCTAAATTAGTAATAGTGCTAGGTGGAAAGGTTTCCAGTTGTAGTCAAATCGTCGTGAAAGCAAATTAACCAATGTCCAATAATGTTTTGTTCTTAAAGCTGACCAGTCACTGATTTGTATTGTTCTGATAATCGTTAAAAACAATATTATGAGCATTTTCATCGTGTCATTAAGCGTTACAAAATATGTGACAAATGATATAACAATCTGAGTTTCTTTCACCATCAGTGAATCGTACTATTTATTATTTGTTGCCATGATAAGCTATATATATTTTACGATAGTTTTAGTTTTGCTATTTATTGTATTTTTTAGTATTGATATATATATTTATTTACGGTATCTTTTCACCTCTTGTACGTATTCCCGTAAATTGGATTCTTTTAATCTTACGTGTTTTATATAAGATTTCCCTCTATTATCAACTATCTATCTATCCTCTATTATCAAAATTATTCTATTATCAACTCTGCGAATGTCCATCTCGGAGTGTGCAGCCGTTTGATCCCCAATATTGATTTCGGGATCAGCGGTCGCGCGACTCTCGCCCGATCTTATCATTACTTCAAACGCTTTGTTGTGCCTCCGTAATGGCATTTCTATAGTTGTAAAGTTGATTTGCGGCTAACTTGAACATCGGGACGATGCTAGTCGATAGATATGACTTTATTCAACTTTCAGTACCATTCCAAGATCATTATAAGATAATTTGTCTTTTCCGTAAATCAATTTAATACACTGTCCGTTCGTTTATATTACTATTGTTTATTGTAAATGTTTAAATTATAAAAATGAAATTCTATAACTTTTTTCATATCACGTACTAGCTTGTGCTTGTATACAACCTCTCCTCTTCAAAAACGACATATAGTAGAAGGTAAACACATAATTCATTCACAAATTGCTGTAAACGTGCAGAACGGAAAAACGCCGGTAATTAGTATTGCTTATTCCGTTTGCTTAAAAAACAATATCAATATAGTCTGTAACTCTTCCTAAGTAGCCAGCTGATGTAACTATACAGGCACGATTTTGAAACAGCGTCGTAAATCGACGCGTCACTGACAGGAAAGTTCTAATGCATATTATTAAGACGTCACAGTGCAGTACTTATGCGTGCGGTAAGCCGCCCGCAGGATGTGAACTTCAAATGGAGAAGCCACTATGAAATTGCCGGTTGTCTCACAAATAACAGGTTCATAGGCCACAAGCTGTGACAGAGGAGTTCACTAAAACATTTGCAGCACGTTGCAGTCATTTCGATTTTAGACGACTCTGCGAATATTGACTGTGGAAAAGTTTTAGGCAGTCAGCAACTCATAGCGTATTCTTAACGGAACAGTGATGTTTGCGTCGAAGTAAAATCGATATCTCGCCCGTAATGCGGGAGAAAACTCTAACAAATGCCTAGCCGAAACAAAATTAGGTGTTGATTACAATTATGCAGTGCAATGCAATGTATAATGACACATTATAGTCGAGTCCCATCTTCATTGGTCAAGGTAACATTGACCTTGTTGCAAAACTTTTGAAGCAAACTATACTGTGAGTATCCTTCTTCATTCCTTACTTCTTTATTTTGTTTGCAGTCCATGGACATTTGCAACTCCCGTAGGGTTGCAGACGCGTTGCCACCTTTTGATAAAACAGGCCCCGGCCACCTCACTCACCAGACGAAACGCAGAAATATACTACCAATTCACACCCGTCGTGGTACTTACTTACCTGGATGGACCTGCCCATTCGTGCAATAGCCGAAGCTGTTGCGTGGCCCCACCACAGTTATATTTCGAAAACAACTATTCACTAATATAGTGTATGGTAAAATCCGTTGTTAAAAGTTTTTCAAGGAGAAAAAACCACAGATTTGTGGCCCCACCGTACCTCACTACTATCGTCAATATCATGTAATTAGCGTGGTGGCGTCACGGCGGTTACCTCAGTGCAGTGGGTGTGTGATTTCACAATTATTTCATTCGACCGTTTATCGGCGGAAGTGTTTTGACGGGGGTCATTGCCCTTCCCTTCAAAAGACAAGCCATGTAATTTGAGGTCTCCATCACCTACTATGCTGCTTTTGACGAATTCCAGAGTAATAAAATTTGTAGGCGAAACTTTTGTTTTACTTATCTTCGCCCTTGTATTTGCAGTTATCAATACATTAATCATAATAATAATTATTATTTTTATTTACAAGAAATCTTGAATTAAAACTACTGAAGCAACTCTTCTCACTATTTATTTATTTATCATAGAATTTACATTTCATTATAGAATTCATAACGAAGTTTATAAAAATTTGATAAATGGGACTTTAGTTATAGGTAAAAACTACTTTTTACAGACACTAACCAACCAAAAAAAAAGAATGCAATACAGCATTATAATAATATAAAAATTAATTTAAAATTACAATGTTACAAAAAGAAATTCTAGCAATTAAAAAATATATTGAGTGTCAGGGGTCAATATAATAAATTAATTGTCAATTATTCTTTTTATTGTCAGTTAAGTAAACTTATATTGCAATTCTGAATTTAGATATATTTTCATCAAAAATGTTTCTAAAAACTGTCGATTGGAAAATTGCTAGAAGAAGAAAATACCATATATACCTAATATCAGGATATGATGTACTAGCGACGTCCTATAGTTAAAAATTAAGGAAATCAGTGACGACATTCCTTCTACATTTTAATTCTCTTACAGCGCTTTTGACAACAAAGCTATTATTTTTTCTATGACAATTTTCAGTTTAGATACATTAAGAAATTAAATCAGTCATGGTAAAACTCGCACAAAATTCCAAATGTATTAACAGGCTGTTAAGATAATTAAGTGTCCCATACTTTGCTAGTGATTTCTTAAGTTTTCCAAATCCACCGTAAATTTAAGCAGCATTATATAGTTTAAAATTCGTAATACGTGTAGAACTAGTTATCTGTCAAATTTTATTTTTAAAGTGTAGAACAACAGCTTATTTTATTCAAAAACCAAAGAAATTAAATGTATTTAAATTGGAAGGCATGTGTAATTATAGACTTCGAATGAGGTAATTATTGCTTTGGTCGTTTTTATTTGAGTGAATATTTTGAAATAAATAGTCGTGTAACATCTTTATTTTATATTATAGTAATGAAAAGTATAGTATAGTTGAATACCTTGTTAATTTCAAAGACTAATTAGCTGCTAGCTTATTTGGTCGGTAATGGTTTTGTTTTACATTTACTTGGAAGTTGCAAAGGTTAAAGACATATGACATTACATTACTGATGCATCAACTCAATGACTGTCGACACGTTAGCTATTAATTGCGCTAACACGAACAAAGTTCGCTTCTCATGCTTTGTAATTCCAATAACAACAATTAATTAGCAATCCTAACAAAGCGAGTCTGTATTTAGACACGCTTTTTTACTCCGCAACAACGTGTTAAACGCAATTTCCTAGTAATTCCGATTGTTTCGCTGCACTAACGTAGCAAATTGCCGCACAATCAAGCTCTGATCTTTTTCACATAGCTTTGCGCCGAGAAATGGCGCGTATTGCTTTTTTTAATTCGTTTATACTTATTAAAGATATTTAAAAAGACCGTTTAAGACTGTGTTGGCAACACTAAAGGAAGTCATTCCTTGTGGTTGTTGGCAATACAAAAAGAAGTGTCATTCTGTGGGGTATAAATGAATCTGCAAGAAGCATTTCGTGGCCTTCATCGTGATCTTCGTCTTTCTCTGGCTGTCAACAAGAAGTATACGCGATAGTGCTGCCCAATAGGTATTAGAAATTAAATTGTTAGAGTGGTGTTTCATTAGTGATATTAAGGTGATAAAATAAGTAATTATACCAGTGTTATTGTTGTGCAAAGTGAAACTACGATGATTTGGTAAAAGTATTTATATTTCTACCTTCTTAGCTCGAAAAAACAAAGTATAGCTAAAATCAGAAGCGGGATTTAACTTGTGTGTAATTCGCGCCCTACGAGTGTAAAGTATAGTAATGAAAAAAAAAATAGATTGGCGAAATAGAATTTTATGCATTAAAGTTTTCGTGGAATCATAGTACGATACGTTACCAGACTTTGAATAAGCTTAAAGGGTCTGCTAAGGTTTGGTATGATTGGGGATCAAATGGAAATAATGAAACTGGATTAAGATTGATAACTGGGATGTTATCTAGGTTATAGTTTATAATTGAAGCGTGTTGGCAAGGTAAAATTTTAGTTAATTTTATAAGCCCATGTTAAATGTTGTCTTAATAACATTATAAGAGCAGCTAGTGGATAACCTAGCGGTGACAGTATTACTCGCCATAATCGGAGTAGTGAGCTGAAGCAGTCTACCTAAGACTAAAGGTGTGAACTGGAACAGGCGCTACCCCGGATTAAGGGAGTGTTGAGCATGTAGTGGATAACCTAGAGATGACAGTATTACTCACCAGAATCATAGTACTGAGCTGAAGCAGTCTCTACCTAAGACTAAAGTTGTGAACTGGAACAGGCGCTACTCCGGATTAAGGGAGTGATGAATCTCGTTAGACATCGTCTAAGCCTAAAGATAATGTTTAGGGTTATCCGGTACAATCTATTTAAGCTTATTATTTTTGCGGGGCAGTTTATGCCTAAAGTAGTTTATGTGTTACAAATGATTTATGAACAGTTTCCTTTGGGTTTTCTAGAATAAACGTTTTCCATTAGACAATTAGAATATCTTAAAAGTATTATAAGACTAAGGGAATCGTATAGAATTCAACGTAGTGGAATTTCTGGAAAGGATTTAAGGAAAGGAATGGCCGAGCAGTAATGTTTAAAAACAAGATATTGTTTTCAGTTAATTCTGTCATGTTTGTTCCCGGCGACTGGTTTTGCATTGTACCTGGGACATGCACAGTGCAGTAGGGCCGTGTTGGCAACACTAAAGGAAGTCATTCCTTGTGGTTGTTGGCAATACAAAAAGAAGTGTCATTCTGTGGGGTATAAATGAATCTGCAAGAAGCATTTCGTGGCCTTCATCGTGATCTTCGTCTTTCTCTGGCTGTCAACAAGAAGTATACGCGATAGTGCTGCCCAATCGGTATTAGAAATTAAATTGTTAGAGTGGTGTTTCATTAGTGATATTAAGGTGATAAAATAAGTTATTATACCAGTGTTATTGTTGTGCAAAGTGAAACTACGGTGATTTGGTAAAAGTATTTATATTTCTACCTTCTTAGCTCGATAAAACAAAAAAAAAAATGCCGAACAAATTCAATTGGTTAAATATCATAACAAAGTAGCAAATAGTCACCCGTTTCATATTTTGAATAAGTAGAATACCTCCAATAAATAGAAGCCAGAATTTTAAATAGGTCAGTTACAGAGTCATGACCACAGGTTTTAACGTAGAGTCGATACATTTTGGCTATTTATCAACTATAATAAAATACGTGGTCACAAATATCCAGTTGGTTCGACAACATACATAAAATCAGAAATCGAGGTTTTCCTCAAGCACTTCATAAAATTGTCCTATTTTTTAAATATTTTTTTTAACAAAGTAACTCTACAGACTCTGGTCCCTACTCTTTTTTGATTAACATGTTTTTTTTTTGTAATTTTCTTTTTGGGCTGTCAGCTGGGCAAATTTTATTAAAGTAGAAATTTTTTTTTTTTGTTACAAAAACTTCTTATCTATTTTTACTATAAAATGTAAGGTCTAAATAATTAATTTGTATTAAATTAACGTTACCTATGTAATAAGATCGTATTCTTGATTAATGAAACAACATACACACAGTACCTACATATTTTTATTACAGTTTTATTCATTTAAACTTCACACAGCAAAACTTTTATTAGTTCTTTGCTGTCGATTGGTCTTTTGCCGACGATTTGGCCATAATAATACTTTGAGGAATAAGAGAAATCGTTTTAAATTATTTTTATTGGGATCGAATTTAGCGACGAGAAGAAACAGCTCGAGAAGAATCGCTGTTATTCAACGACGCCTTTTATTAACACTTTGCGATCACAAAACCCATAAACCTTCCAAAAGCCAACAAGGTGATCATTCCACACCTCCGGTTTAAAAGGAAAAAAAACCATTCAAGATACCCGAACGCTCTCATTAAAATGGGCCAACTAAGTAATTAGAAATGCGCGTTAGATTCAGATAATTGAGTGAATTAAAGAAAAATCTCAAGAATAGCTTTAGGTTTATTGATTATTTTTTTTTAAAGGCCTGACGCGGCGACGCGGACTGTCTCACACATATATGAATCGGGAAGTCTTTTGGCACAGTGACTGGTTAGAGTAGGCGGTTGCGCTGCACTAGTGTTTGTTAGAAATAAGTTATAAAATATAGCTTTTATCAATGTATACAACTATAACTCAAATAACAACTCAATAATTGCGTAACAATAATACTTAGCTTTTCCAGCAGAGCAACAGCCTTAACTTCCAATAACGAAAAACTAACCCGCGTACGTTTGTATTTTGTAAGAGTTGAATTTATACTCCTCATAATTTTGAGTAAAAAGAAATCGACTTCAAACAGGAAACTAAAAATCATTGTCAACACCTGTAACATTTGGGGATTGCCCTCGATTTCTCTGGGATGCCATTATCAGATCCGGGTTTCCTTATCATGGTACCCTTGGGATATCTTCTCCCCAACAAAAAATAATCGTCAAAATCGGTTCATAAACGACGAAGCTATCCGCGAACACACATAAAAAATAAAAATATATACGGTCGAATTGAGAAACCTACTTCTATTTTTAAATCGGTTAAAAAACAAATTCCAACCACCCCCCACTCTAGGGTGTAGGAAATATCAAGACGCAATAGGTGTCAAACCAAAAACTTAAATAGATCACACCAAACTGTACTACTAAATTATTGATAAATTATGGTTTGGATTCTGAACAAATGGTTTTAACATGGTAGATACTCATTTATTATTATTATTTTATACTGTTACAATTTAAAAAAAATACCTATAAACTTCGATTATTGTTAATAGCCTGTTTGAAAATATTTATATCTCTTGAATCGTTCCTTTATTGGTCCAAAAGGGTGACAAAAAGAAGGTTATAATAATTTTCTCTACTTTTATACGGAGAATGAGCCGTGATAACTCCCGTGTAGCCGTGATAGTGTCCGGGCGCTCGCCTTTAATTCAATATACTCTAGCAATTTGAGTTCAATCGCCGATGCCGGCACCAAGGATATTGTTAATTACAAGTGCTGACTTATTACGAAGATCCAAAAGAAGAATAATGTCAATAAAGGATTTGAAAACATCTTAAGTTGTTCATACGACTTTTTATTTTGTTGGATACTTCATATGATTCCGTTTGGGAACATTTGTATGTTAACATTGTTAACAACATACAAATGGTGCATTTGGCAGGAGATCTACTAGTTCTGTAGTACATAAAAGCGAGGGTATTGATATCTTCAAATGTATTCAAAATACGCTCGCTACTCCACGCGGTTTCCTGTCCGCAGGAACTGTAATAAATACGGTACAATTAGAGGTTATAAAACGTTCCTCGCTGTCAGTTAGCGTTAAATGGGGATCGACAAAAACCGACGTGGCACAGCGAGTTTACTCCGCACACGACTAACCGAATATACCTTTGCATAGACACATTTGAATGTTTACCAACGATTAACAATAGTAATTCATAGAAGTATAATAAATAACGTGTCTATATATTATAACTGTATACCTCGCTAAATGATCCAGCTGTTCAATTCTTCTATTGTGTTCTAGAACACTTTAACACTCCAGTTCGAAACTAAAACTGTAGGTTTGTTTTGAATGCTCTAATTTTAAAAACTATATTACTTTCTGTGCTATTTAGGCTGCCAATACTTACACGTATATATTATAATTACATAGATTGTTAATTACAGTCCGATTTACGCAGAATACTTCATTTGTTCATTATGGACATTAATTTTAGAACTAATTATTTTGTTTCCCAGATTAAAAATGACACTAGGATGTACATTATGTCCGTCCCTCGACTCTGAATGCTATAAGGGTAAAAAATAGTTTTAATCTTTTAATACAAAGACGATACGGATAGTATCGTAAATAGTTTAATTTATTAATCAGCCAGGACGACAAGAGCTAAGATGAAGCTTGAAGCTTTAATTAGCCATCTTACGGGAGAAAAAAAGAAGGAGAAAGTTGCCACGCAATTTGGTTTTGGACATTGTTTTTTTAATGTGAGAACGTGTCAAGCGGGCTGGCGGTTCACCTGATTTTAAGCAACCGCCGTCCATAGACGTTTGCAACATCAGTAGGGTTGGAGACGCTTTGCCACCTTATAATTAAGTGGGCCCTAAATACCTCACTCACCAGACGAAAGGCAAAAGTATAACACCAATCTAACAGTAGTATAACACATTTGAATGTGTTATACTACGCCACAAGCGTAACAGTTTCTCTCTTCCGTTCCGTTGTTGGTCCTTCCACGGACAAATTGCCGCCGGCCCCACGCCGGTTCGTGGAGCGGCGACAGATCGCGCCAATTTGAATATTAATAGCAGCAGCGGCGCGTGAAAACTGACGCTGCCTGCGCCGGAGGTGCCAAGCGCTGGATGCGGCATCGCGGCAGAATCCCGGGGTCTATTTATAAGAGGCATTCGCTCGATAAAACACCGCCTCCCGGCATGGGTATTCTAATGCCTGTGAAGTGCAACATCACATGCTTGTGTTCGGCGTATCATAGGAGCACGTGTTTTATCTTGTTATAATAGAAATATGTTGCTATTCACACCAATTTGATAAAAAAAAACGTTGCCGTTATAATAGAAATATGTTTCTGTTCACACCAATTTGATAAAAAAACGTTGCCGTAGTACAAGCAGCATTATTACTTTAATCGTTTATTAAAGTAAGTAGATATGTGTTATAAGTTAGTTCCTACTTGTTTCACCTAAATACGAAACAAAGTGGAACATACTCGTATATAAGTAATGCATAATATAATCAACCATCGCATTTATTACACGCGTTACATTCTTTACCATTTATATTTACAGTAAATGCAATAAAAAAAAAACAAAAGATTTACCTATTAGTGACCACAGTAACCATCGTGACATGTTTATGAGGTTGGACCTCCAATACAAATGATCTTCTCTCTGCTTTTGTAAGGTCATGGTACTTCTCAGGTGAAATAAAACCTTCACTTTAGCAACGGATGGTGCTCCAACCGTATATAAAGATCCTATAAAAACAAGAATAAGTAAAATTTACTGTGTCCCTTTGCACTGAACAATTTCGGATATCGAGTGTAAGAAAAGCCTTTTCCTCGAGTTATGCCTACTGCATGCCGCATCCAGTAGATATTTATCGGTGGCGGCCAGCGGAGCGCGACGTGGCCACATGACCGCGCCCTAAGGCCCATTGATGGCCGACGCATAAATCAAACGCCAATAAATAAATATCACTCCGAATCGCTTCCTGCGCCTAATGCTCGTATAATTCAACATCCGACGGCATTAACGCTCCGCGTATGGCGCTTTTGTGAGTTGTCAATGTCGCCTCAATAAAAAATGTCGTGTTATAAAGTTGCGTTCAGTTAAGGTACTGCGAATCTTCATTGCACCTGCTGCGTGGTCACAGTATAGTTGTTAACGGGCTACTCAGTTGGCTTATTTCAGCTGTTGCATAAATTGGTAGGCTCCAGTATAGGGAAGTACCACGGCCTGGTCTGATGAATTACGTGACAAGTGACGACTTTTTTACGTTGGCAACGCATCAAGCACGTGTTGTTGACGTCCATAGGTGGCGGTACTCACTTAACATCCGACGTTTTCATTTTTTTTATGCCAGAAGCTGGCAGTTCACCTTACGTTAATTTACAATTGAACACCGGTAGGGTTGTAGATGCATTGGCACCTTTTAATAGAGTGGGCCACGGCCCAAGGTTACCTCACTCATCAAATGAAACGCGGAAGTATTACATTTCCACTTCATGCCGTTCATCTGTGTGGTCGTGATACATACCTGGACGGACCTGCAAATTCGTGCAACAGCGAAGACCGTTTTAAAAGACGTGAAGACGTAGAATGATTTATCGCAAAACGGATGTGATGGAATCGTCATCTGTCGCTTAGTGAATATTAGTGACTATAAAACGCTGTTGATATAAACGTTCATGAAAGACTTGTAAACGCTCCACTGAAACCCGGGTCATTATAGGTTAAAATCTGACCTACATCTAAATCTGATCTAAATCTACATTTGATCTAAATCAATCTAATCTAAACCTACTTCTAGATCTAAATCTGTTCTACTTAACGTCCCTCTGAAATGATAACGACGCTCAAGAGCACGGCTGTATTAGGTATACAGACTTGCTATTTTATTCACTTGGAAAAAAAACAGTTCCATTACAGCTGAGAAGCCAGTATTATGGATTAAAACAAGCCCAATTTTTTCTTAAATGCTCAAAATTATTTGTTATGAGTTCCACGTATGATCGCCGTACGTCCACCGTCAATCTCGTTGTAAATAAGTAGTTAAAATAGCAATAAACGTTTAAATGGTGCCGTAGATCCATCAAAGGTTGCTCAAGTAAAGTTACTTTAAATAATAGCGGTTCGACACAAATTGCTGCACCTCTATAACACCTCGCCATTCTCGTACTGAAGGGATTGTCGTAACAATTTACGTAACTGTACTGTCCGCTGCATTGCTAGTATCTTTCTAGTACTAATACAGTAAAGTTAAGTAACTGCCTATACATGTCCCACTTCTTGCAAAGGCCTATCCTGTACAGAAGGTATCAGGGCAAAGCCCACAACGCACCAGACTGCGGACTGGCGGACTTCACATATCTTCGAAAATATGCAGGATTCATCACGATGTTTTCCTTCACCGGTGAGCACGTGACCCAGTCAAAAAAAGACACTGTCATTCCACTGGTGCCGGCACCGGGGATTGAACGAGGTTGCACGAGCATACTGAATAAAAATCGAGCACCCGGATATGCTATCATGAGCTATCACGGTTCGAGATATCCACATGTGAAATTCGGTGCTGATCAAGTACTCAGCATCATTCCGGGTCGTATCGCCGGCGACGCGTGAACTAGTCCCATTGTGCGCGTAGCCGTGACGGCGCGCCTTGTGGCCGATGCCAGCCCATTGATCTGATTTAGTGACATATCGCTCACAGTCCAGTGCATCTGCGCGTCATTTCAGCACAAATTACGTCTACGTCTAGTCTGGATAGACTTCGAATAAATGGAAAGCTATGAAAAGAAGGCAGATGCCTTTTATCTAGATTTCATAGATAGACTTGGAATATATAGAAAGCTATGGAAATGAAGGAATCTGCCATACTTTCCATTGTTAATGAGCAAAAAACAAGCAGTTTACGTGACGGTAAGAGGTTTTTTCCTTTTTTTATGTGAAAACTTAGCAAGTGAGCAGGCCGTTCCAATGTTAAGTAATTACCGCCACTTTTTTGCATCCCGTCTCATGTTAAGTATTACACCTAAAACATCAGATGGGATGCAAATGCGTTGCGAACTTTAAAAAAGTGGGGCCCGGTTACCTCAATCACCAGACCTCAACTTGCGGATTAGAGAGTTATTATAAAAGGAAACTGTAGAGAAGACAGTAGACGATAAGAGGCTAACTCACTCTAGTCTCAAACTAAGCTACTCTTGAACTGTGGTTACTAAATAACTGACAAACAAACATATTTTTCTTTTGTAAATAAATACATATTATAAAAACACCCAGACACTGTAAAACACCAAATATTTTTCCAGTAGTGGGTATCGAATCCACACACTCTGATGCAAGAGACAGGTTCCCTACTCTCAAAGCCAATGTTATCTATGTAGTAACTGTAATTTACATAAAAAGCACTGTTGTTTAGTGCTTTACGTTCAGAGAATCATAATGCTTGTTTTTGAGCCATAATAACAGAAGCTAATGAAATATAAAGACAAGTGTAACTAAACAGAGTATATCAATATTGCGCGGATAAAGGGATCTTCTCCGTAAAAACCTTTACCCTCCCGGAGATATTTAATTTTGATACGTAAAGCGGCGTGACGGGATCGGCGGTCGAATAAATCTTAAACGGCATCGGCTAGCCAATATCACCGCGAAATATTAGCTATGGCGAATTCTGACAATAAGGACATGTCCACTTTATCACTACCCGATCGCTGCCAATGGACAAACGACTGTATGGTAAACGCAGAGAGTTTCCATTCCCGTGCAATTTCGACGCGCAATTACGAAACGCGATAAGGAAAATTATATCTTATTACCGTCGAATTTGAGTATCTTATTTTAACATGCGATAAAACGACTACGCGGTTAAGAATTCTGCGTCCCCTTGCGATGCACAATGAGTCTTAACACCAAGAAGGAAGGTGCGTTTTCGCGTGAGACCCGTGAAGGAGCTTCGACCGAGATCCGGGGATTTGGCTAGGGCGTTTAGTCACGGTTTTATTTGGATTCACCAGAATTCGCCGCGACAAATATTTGGACGTTTATTGCTTTGAGGACCGGTGTCGAATAATAAACATTGGACTGTATCCGTTGGCGATTCGACACGGTCGATATTTGGCTTGGGCCGGGCTACACGGGACTCGCGGCCAGTAGGGTGGCGAGGAAATGAATTGCTCGGATCTGCTGTCGTATCTTGTTTTGTGTTTGGCCACTGATAGTATATTATTTACGCTGCAGATTGTGGTCAAGAGGCAGCGAGGCGATGCCAGATCTGGCTTTGGAGGGGACTTGACTATAAAAGTGGTAAGTGTGAAAGTGATAAGATGGTAAGCGAGTTGGCGGTTCACCTGATGTTAAGTGATAACCGCCGCCCATGGACATTTGCATCATCCAATGTGCAGTTGCAAATGCGTTGCCGCCTTTCAATAAAGCGAAACGCAGAAGTATAACACTCCTACTTTACACTGGTCTTCTGTGAGGTCGTGGTACTTTCCCGGACGGACCTGCCCATTCGTGCAACGGCGAAGACTGCTTCCTGGCACAGTAAGACATATGATTGTTCGCGGTTACGCTGTAAGCTTACCAGGTAAAGGATTTCGCAACTGTGCACATCGAACACTGGGTCTCAGATTAAGTTGACAAACAGACAGAGTAGCGTAGAAACAAACGTAACGTTGACTAAAACCATTCTTCTAAATGTGTCCCATGTACCAAATACCAATCCTTTCTACCGTTAGTTATGTATACGTAACAAATATCTCTGCGTAGCGACTTATTGCAAATATAATAAATAAGATTTGGCTAGTTTCTTTCATAATAGACAAGTTTCAAGTGGAGTTGATAAACAGTTGGAGTTAATATTCTGTTTGTAATATCTTGGTCTCACCGAGGGTTAGATTCTTAAGTGTTTTTGAGATATATTATGTCTATTAATTTCAAAATTCTTTATGCTTCAGGGAACAGCATAAGTATTTAAATGTTAAGAGGACACTTTGAAGTTTCTTAATAAATAAAGGTAATGCTTTTAGTATATACATTTATTTTTAGTGCTAGTCTCTGCACTCAAGTTGAAATACTGGATGGTGTCAAGCATTGCGAAAAATGCTATACTAGAAATGTTGATAGATGTGATAGATTTTCGTGCCGTGAGGTCACCGGCCGCAGAAGTCGTAGGTTCGAATCCCGCACCGCCGAAAGTTTTTTTCCATTTATCTGCAAGAATTCTCAATTTAAAGGTGATGCGTTAAAATTACCGTTCCATCCGCAAGAGAATCACCCGCAAATTTGTCGCTAGGACAAGAAGTCGGGTAAGAGGAGCGAGAATGTAAAGGCGCCCTTGTTAAGGGGTCAGCCAGGGGCGCGGGGCCATTATATCTTCGGGTGACAATTTTATCGCGTCGCACCTCGGAGTCGGCGGGCCGTCGGCAAATCGAGCAAAACGCCGCCAATTGGTGCATATCGCCGACGAATTGTGTGCCCCTTTGTCCGCCGCCTTCGTCCCGACGGCCGGAGCGACTCTCATTTGGTTATTTATCGCCGCCGCTCGCGACGCGCACAATGAGCCGGCTCATTATAGCTGGCTCGGATTTAACGCGGCGTTAAATCTCCCGTCGGTATTCTGGCGAATTAACCGGCGGCCGCGCCGGGCACTTTTTTCCGGCGCTGATTGATCGCCCCGGTCTCTCGGGCAGATTGCGAACGCGGGTGACGTTGGGCGTCAATCGATTCACTCACCCCACGGCAGATAGCCGATGCGGGGTGACACCCGCATAAACTCGTATTAGCTAAGGGCAAGCATAGCTAATACTGTCAGCTGGGGCTGAAGAGGAACGCGTCGATTTTTTTTTAATTTGTAACTGACCAGCGCCTAACTGTCAAACCACCTGACGGTAAGCGGTGATTCAGCCTACTATCTCGCGCTCAATTTGAGCAAAACTTAGTTTTCTGGCTGAAGATAATTGCAAGGCGGTGCTAAGCTAGCTGCTCACATGTCGGACTCAAGAAAATCGCCTGTACAGATCCCAATTGCGTTTACCGGTGGGATATGCGTATAGCTTTCTTATGTGTAAAATATCTCTTGGGCGTAAATAGGCTCGATGAATCGCGGAGTTCTTAGAAATAGTTTAAAGGAAACAGTTAATGCTCTATTTTTGTCTATGATAAGGTAATCGTAGAGAGACTGGTTGATATGTAAACCCTTCCATCCGATTTCAGCAGTCTCCGGGACTGCGTTCGTCTGAGTGAGAGAGAGAGCCGCCCGTGAGAGTGCCGACGTCTCTGCGGGCTCGGGACGAACGTTAAATAAGATTGCGAGATGCAAACGCCTCGCGTGGGAGACGCTAGCGTCATTAATTACTCGTATCCGATGATCTTGCGTGGCGGGCAGCTCGTCGCTTCCAGGGAACGGTCGGAAATAGAGCGGCCCACCCCACTGGCGGCTGTGACGCTCCGTTTCAACGATAATTTCCCGGCTGTTTGTTATTTTGCTCTTATGTCCCCTAACATAGTTCGGCGACATTATCTGTTTACGGAGTTTTGTTTCCTTGCCCTTTTTGATGGAAGGTCATGTGGTTAGTTTAATACATGGGCAAAATACCGTAGGTATGGTTTTTCTACAAATTTTAATACCGTATGTAAGGTTTAAATTAAGTCAAAATAGTGTTTAGCAGTTAGTGTCTTTATCTACAGCAGCGTCACCATTCATCTTCAGATTGGATAGCAGTCAACCACTAGGAAGTTCCTTAAAAATAAGGAAAGAAAAATCTTCGCTTATATCCTTTGACGATACTATGAGTATATTCATATTAGTTTAAAATATAGAGCCAAGTTTGTTTCGATGGAAAAGAGATATCATTTTACCTTTCACTATTAAAAATATGTAGAAAAGTCTAATCTGTTCTACGACACTGAAATCAAATCAATAAATTATTAAAAAGAAAGAAAAGTTTATATTAAAGTAGCGGACCTGACAGACGTTGTCCTGTACACACGTCTTAAATCCGAAAATTTCAAACTTTTTGAATAATTTTGTAAATCTGAACCATTCTCGAATCAACCCGGAAACACAAAATTTTATTAAAATCGGTCCAGCCGTTTAGGAGGCGTTCAGTGACATACACACGTACTGAATAATTATACAGGGTGGCTTTTCTAAGTGTATCCATTTTTTTATTAAATTCTAAACTTAAATAATGTTATATTAAAAATGATAAATATTTAAAATCACTCGTGCGTGATTTATACGCAACTCATTTATTTTACACGCGATCAATCATAACTAACACGCACACAAGTTGGTGCACAGTAAAATTTAGGTATTTATGAATGACTACCGCATTGTCAACATGTTCTGTTTTTTAGCGAACAGAATGGTAGTTTTTTTGAAAAAAAAAAACTTTGTTTTTTATTTCAATAAACGATTATACTACCGAGTCTGAACCTCCTGTGTAAGTTTGGGCACTTCTCAAAAAATCTCACTGTATATATGTGATGTAACAACATTTTTTTGTTTTGTGAGAAAGTGACAACGAGCTGGCGGTTCACCTGTTGTTAAGTGATAACAGCGGCCATGAACAGTTGCAAAACCCGCAGGGTTGCAAATGCGTTGCCACTCACCAGACGAAACGCAGAAGTGTAACACCTCTACTTTACGCTGCTCTTCTGTGGCCCTACCACAGTTAATTTAACAACTTAAACTTTACGGTAAGTGCATAAAAAATCCATATAAAAAAAGGATAACAGAACATTGTAAGGTATTTTCTTATATGAAAAAGGCGTTTACTTGCTCTTAAGGGAATACCGTTAACCTTGGCGTTTTCCTCACCTTACCAGACAATACGTGAAAGTATAAGTATAATAAGTTCGACGACCCGAATGGCGTAGTCGGTAGTGTACCTGCCTTCTGCGCCAGAGGGTGTGGGTTCGATCCCCACTACTGGAGAAATATTGTGTGATGAGCATAGTGTTTTTCTAGTGTCTGGGTGTTTATATATGTATAATGTGTATTTATTTACAAAAGAAAAGTGTGTTTAAGTATGTCTATCAGTTTTCTAGTACCCATAGTACAAGCATTGCTTAGTTTGGGACTAAAGAACGTTGTGTAAAAAAGAAAGTGTCCTAAAAAAAAATACTTCCACTTCAAGTCTATCTTTTGTGAGGCCGTGGTACCCGGTTGAGGCTGCCCATTCGTGCAACAGCAGAAGCTGCTGAGGGGCACTACAGAAAAACTAATAAAAAAAAATCACAAATGTGTGTTTTATAAGACTGATCACGTTCGGGTTACACTTGGCGGAGCGACAGTTCCGAGGTCTCACGTTGGGACCTTCGAATTCTAACAAAGAATTTCTCGCCGGACACTCGAAAAGCGAACTCTAATTGCGCGCCAGTATTCGCGGTGACGGGACGGGCTGCATTATGCATGACCGCCACCATTGTCTGAGCACAACTGACAGGATGTCTGACTAAATTGTGGGACGATTAGTTTCCGAGTAAAGGAGATCGGTGCGCTGCGGCCGCGGATTCCTTCGCGGGAACAGTTCGGGGCCGTTGACAGAGGCTCGATAAAAAAAAATGTCGGGCGCAGTTTGATAGATCGCATCGTCACAGCGGCCCTGGCGTTAGCGGAATTAAGTCTGTTTTTTGTGCGGCGTGTCTCTATTTCGTGGAGATTAGTGGTTGTAAAGTTCAAGATTACGTCTTAAATACAAGAGACCAAAAGAAAATAAATACGTCTTAGAAAGTATGCATGATAAAGTATATTATAAAAATGATTTCTAGTTTATTACAACCTTAACTGTCACCGCATTTTCATTTGCCATGAATGGATCGGTTTTTAGAGAAGTACCGCGACTTTAAAGAAGAGAGAATGTTATAAATTAGAAGAATGATTAGTGATACAACTAGTCGATGAGCGAGGTACTCGAGTCCTACAATAATAAAGATCGTCATCGCAACCGAAATTCCACAGATGACATGGTTAAAATGGGCGACGGTCATCACTTGTCATAAAGTACATCGCTTATATGTTTGCTACTTTCTGTTATAAAACATTATATCTTTGTTGAATTCAGTTGCTGATTAGGCTGCAAATGAGTTTATAATATTTGTATTCTCTTCGAAATATATTATGTGAAAGGTTCATGATAAATCAAAACTTTCCAACAAACGACAAGCAGGCTTCTTTGAGCCCGTGCGGTCATGTAAACTAAGATAGCCTAAGAGCATCACGCTTCTGTCGTGCCGTATTCGGGTCGAACACTATCTTAAACCATAATAGCGTGATACAACCGAATCTGCGTCTTACCCCACCGTCTTTAGCAACACAACGGCGTGCGTCAATACGGAGCGGCCGCGTGCTTAAGTCGACACGTGTACATCACGAAAAGCATCCGAGTCGTGAGTGACCGACGAGACATTCATTCAGCATGTCCGTCGCATCGCCACCGATCTGAATTTAACGAGTCATTACGCCCCGCCGCAAGAAGCCCCCCGGCTCCGGCAACACGTTAGAGCGAGGGGCTTCCCCGATAAACGCTCCCCCAAAATGACAAAACCCAAATGTGACAGACATTCAACGGAGTCCTGGGTAAGTTTCTGCAGGGGCCGCTATTCGTTGTAAGTTTTTCTTCGGGTACGATGACCACGTGACAGTCTTCGCTGTTGCACGAATGTGCAGTGTATGTGCATCGCGGGGAAGTACCACGACCTCACAGAAGACCGGCGTGAAGTGGAAGAGCTACAATTCTGCGTTACGTCTGGTGAGTGAGGTAGCCGGGGCCCACTTTGATATAATCGGCGGTTATCACTTAACATCAGGTGTACTGTCATCGCGTCGTTTGACATCTTGTTACATAAAACAGGACCATTTTTTTATTAACGAGAAACAAAACCGACTCTAAATATCTCGCTCTGTATTATTTTTATAATTGATTTTCAGGAGTTCCCTTAATATCTCCGGAGCCAAAGATCCAATACCAATGAAATTAATACAGGACCACCTGGGGAGGACCAGCTTTAAAATAAAAAAAGGATCATCAAAAACAGTTCACTCAGCCACGAAAGTTCTTGGGTATCAAACATAAAAATACAGTGGAATTGACAACCTCCTCCTTCTATTAAGTCGGTTGAAAAACAATAGAATTCGATTCCCGTTAAAAACCCCGTGTTGTACGGCCTTTTTCTTTATGTGTACGACGTAGACAAGGCGACACCATTCGGTCATTCCGTTGCGATTTCGGCAACACGCTTCGGACAGATTGACCCGTCGATAATCGTTTCCAAATAAATTTCAACAGTCAAAAACTTTTAAGTTAAACGGTTTTATTTTATGTGCACTGAAAACTACAATATTGTATTGTCATCTAAATTAAATGTGTGTACCAAATTTCAGATCAATCTGACAACGGGAAGGTGCTTAAATTTCAATTTCTAATTTTGACCCAAATAAACAAACAAATTCCGTACGGGTCGAGCTAAATAAAACCGTTTTTTAAAAACGACCGACTTGATGCACCCACTCGCGCA